AGGCGGTATTGCCTTCAACCTTCGCCCAATTTCGAGTAGTTCTAAAAATATTTGGAGAATTGCGGATCAGCGCTGATGATTTCCAGTTTCAGAAATTCCAGTGCAGCAATTATTGCAGAAGAAGATTTCTCATCGCAGTGACGATGATATTGAAGGATCTGGAGAAAAAGTTGTCAATGGTAAAATGATCGGCCTCCTTTGGTGACACTGAATTTCTATGATAATTAGACGGTTCTTGTTAAGTCGGCTGTACTGCTTCAATAAAGTTTTAAATCAGTCGCATAAAAGTATAGAGGAAATACGGATTTGGTTCGATGCTGCTGCTCGTTCGCTTGATACATTACCCATAAGCANTAGGACATAGTCTTATTTGTTTGTAAAAGCTGTCGTTATATTCCAGAAAGGGATCCCTGAGACGGTAGCATCAGCTGTTGAGCAGTTCAACGTGCCTGTTATTTGAATCATTTGATATCTTCATCAGCATACCTTTCAGTAAACTTCCATCCGAATTTCAATCGTCCCGTGACATTCAACCATTTCCGTGCAGAATCCGATAAAGTATGCAAACCTGCCAAAGTATGTTATTCGAACGACGACTGCAATGGAGGTTGGAATGTGTTTATTCCTGAACTGACTAAGAAGCTGTTCTCAGCTGGTTTATGCTAAAAATTTTCATGCAATCAAAATACTGTAACATGATGAAATTATTTTGCGGCATCCACAAACGCCCGGCTGCAATATGCAGTAGTCAACAATCCTATGGGATAGAACAGCTGCCCACTAGATATTTGATAAAAATAAACTGATAAGCTAGATTTGATGATATCATTCTCGAACATAATCTTCAGCAACGAAAAATCCTTTCAGGAAGTTGTGTGGGAGATTCAGTTGGTACGTGCAATTGTGCTGCGTGTTCGTCATTTGTGACCTGCCAGGACGACTCGGTTTGCGGCGGGCTCAGAGGAGCGTGTAACAAGCAAACGGGGCAGTGTGATTGTGAGCGAGGTTTGCATTCACTTGATTTCATTCAACTCTTGTCACGCTTCTTAATCGCACAGTTCAATGTAACAAATTTTCCATCCTTCAATCCGAATGGAGTCGACTGAGTGAAGACGTACACCGGACGTCTAATTTACATTTCCGCTAATTCCTTATTGTCCACATTTCTCCTATTTCAACACATTCTCGAATTTCAACCAATTTCTTTTATCATT